TCTTATTTTACCGTCTCTTTTGAGGTCCTCGGTTGGTACTACGCGGTATATAATCGTTGGTAGGCATCTGGGGTAAGGTCTGTAAAGTAGCAAAAGATGGGGGCATACCAAATAATCCGAGTCCAATTCTTGTGGTTGGGAGGATGAAATCTCTTTAGGGGATTTCTAAAATACTAACCACTAACATTGTAGCCTTTGTTATCTATTTGAATGTCATGTTCCTTTCCTCTATTATTGAAATTGCTATTATTGACTCAAATATCATGCTTCACTACTTGCTTGTTATAAATACGTTGGTGTATTGAATTGGGAAAAAGGGACGGGGTGTGTGTGCGTTTATTGGGTATTCAAAGCTCATGACGTTTCATGCCAGTTATTAGACCAGTCGAAGGCAAAGCTGAAACATTTGAGAACATACGGCTACCCTAGGAGGATTAGAAACTAGTTTGTGAACGTGTGTGAGATTGTAAGTGATAGATCCCATGTTGTATTTAAGACTTGATTTTGTAATTATTATATATCTATACATATCTTTTATAATACCTATTTCTTATTTTTCGTCAACTCATGTAGACCTTGTGTTAATACCTTGATAAGATCTATCAAAAAGGTAGCTTTGCTATCTAAGGAGATTGGACTTTGAAGGGAGGCTAGTTGACTTCTCCGATCTTTCCTAGGATCTTACTTAGTTATTGATCAAAGGACTCATTAGTGACATTTCCTATTTTGTAATCTTAAATAAACCCTGTATTTATTTGTTATTAGATTCTCTGATGTTCTCGACTTTTGGGGCGTCACATATACAATGGAGGCGGTGTCATCCACTTACCATTAGGTAGTTCGTTTCCCAACAAAAAATGGGGTGGAAGAGATCAGGGGTGACCAACTAACGGCAAAGCATTGTTTCATCGCCGCCATGAAGTCTAAACAAGCATGTAATGAAGTCCAAATGGTCGAACTGCCTGATCAGCTTGTACTCGAAGACGTTAGTAGAGTACCAACAGAGAAGATGGTTGAGGACCTTGAAATGATCTTAGTGGACAGAGGAGATCCAGACAAGTTCTTTCTTCTCGGTACTTTGCTTCTTGTCAGAGAAAAGGAGCAGTTGCTGGCTCTCCTCCGCAAGAATATCAAAGTATTTGCCTAGTCTGCTTACGAGACTCTTGGGTTGGACCCAGCCTTTGCATGCCACGAACTCAATGTCGAACCAGTAGCTTGGCTCGTAGTCCAAAAGAGTAGACGATCATCCGTAGAACACACGAAAGCGGTCATCCAAGAGGTAAACAAGCTTCTAGCAGTAGGGTTCATACAGGAGGTACAATATCCGAAATGGTTGTCTAACACCATCGTGGTGAAGAAAAAGAACGGCAAATGGAGGGTATGCGTCGACTTCACTAGCCTCAATAAAGGTTGTCCTAAGGACAACTTTCCTCTTCTACGGATAGACCAACTAGTAGATGCAACTACTGGAAACAAACGGATGAGCTTCCTGGATGTCTACAGTGGCTATAATCAAATCCCCCTGTTTGGCCCTAATCAGGAGAAGACAATATTCATTAGCCTAAGAGGCACCTACTGCCACAAAGTTATGCCTTGCAGCTTGAGGAACGTCAGTGTGACCTATCAACGAATGGTCACTAAAATGTTCAAGGACCAACTAGGCAAGACTATGGAGACCTATATAGATGACATGGTGGTTAACAGTAAATTGGCTGAACACCATCTGAGAGACTTGGAGGAAGTGTTCCAAATCCTGAAGACCCACAAGCTTCGCTTGAATGCCTCGAAATGTGCATTCAGGGTAGGTTCGGGGAAGTTCTTAGGATATATGGTGACCAGACGAGGCATCGAAGTCAACCCCAACCAGATCAAAGCCCTCCAAGACGTTGAGGCACCTACGAAGGCTAAGGAACTCCAAAAGCTTGCTGGTATGGCCGCAACATTGAATCATTTCATTAGTCGGTCTTTCAATCGAATGAGACCTTTTTTCCAGCCCCTAAGGGAGAAGGCAAACTTCGAATGGGGTGACCAGTGCTCCGAAGCACTCACAAAGTTAAAGAAGTATCTTTCTTCCCCCCTCTCTTGTCTACTCCAGACCCAACGAAGAGCTCTTTCTTTACTTGGCTGTCTTCGATCATGTTGTGAGTGCAGTCTTGATTAGAGAGGAAGTGAAGGAACAAAAGCCAGTATACTACGTTAGCAAAACCCTTTTGGATGCCGAAACCAGATACCTGCCACTAGAGAAACTGGTATATACCCTATTGATCGTCTCTAGGAAGCTTGCTCACTACTTCCAAAGACACACTATCAATGTCCTCACTAAGTACCCTCTAAAGTCTGTGTTTGGCCGAGCTGATTTCTCAGGTTGGATAACGAAGTGGGCACTAGAACTGGGGGAGTTTGACATTAAATTCTAGCTACGGATCACTATCAAAGCTCAAGTGTTAGTAGACTTCGTGGCTAAATTCACTCTAGGACAGACCAGTCCCTCCGAAAGGAGCTCGACCTTAGCAATCGGAATCCACAACACTTATCAAACCCCCACTGAGGCATGGAAACTTTTCATTGGTGACATCTGGCAGCTGTTCGTTAATGGATCCTCCAACCAAAAGGGTTCTAGAGCGGGGATGGTCCTTATTTCACCAGAGGGGTTTGTTTGGGAGCAAACCATTAGACTGGGATGGAAGGCTTCCAACAACGAAGTGGAATACAAGGCTCTACTAGTTGGTCTACGCAGCGTCGAACACATTAATGCAAAGAAATTGCTTGTTTATAGCGACTCCCAACTTGTAATGAACTAACTAATTGGAGTATACGAAACCCGCGATGGCCGAATGGCATCCTACACTGAACGAGCCAAACACCTGATCCACAAATTTCAAGCTATCGGGGTTGTGAAAATTGGCCGTGATAGAAATAGCCACACCGATGCCTTAGCTTGTCTTAGCTCCTCGGTGGGTTCCAGAAATGGCCACATGATATAGGTCAAGTTTGTTCCTTAACCGACTATCGATCCAGCCAGTTCAGTCCTCTATACTGACCTCAGTCCGAGTTGGATTGACCCACTCCTTTCTTTTCTAAAAAATGGCATCCTTCCAGATGACAAGAAAAAAACACATAAAACAAGGCACTACGCTGCGCGATTTTGGGTCTCACCCTCGGGCAAGCTCTATAAAAAGTCTTACCTAGGTCCATATCTTCTTTGTGTTCACCCCAATCTTGTAAAGAACTTTCTTTATGAAATCCATGAGGAGATCTGTGGCAGTCACACTGGAGGTCGATCCTTGGCACACCGAGCCCTCACTCATGGGTACTGGTGGCCACGTATGCAGAAAGACGCCCAATAGTATGTCCAAAAATGCGACAAGTGCCAAAGGTTTGCCCCACTCATTCATCAACCAGCCAAGTACCTAACTCCCCTCACCAGTCCATCACCATTTGCATAATGGGGTCTAGACATCGATGGACCTCTAGCAAGGGGTACTACTAACAAAAGATTCTTCGTTGCTGCCACTGACTATTTCACTAAATGGGTAGAGATTGATGCCTTAGCAAGCATAAAGGAAGCTGATATGAAAAGGTTCATTTGGAGGAGTGTCATTACTCGGTTTAGTATCTGAAAGGCCCTACTATTTTACAACGGCACCCAGTTTGATGGGCAGGTTTTTAAGAAGTTATGCTCTGACTTAAAAATCAAGTTCAAAAATTCTACTCCAGTCTACCCTAAAGGCAACGATCAAGCTAAAGCGTCTAACAAGACGGTTATCAATGGGATAAAGAAGTGGCTGGAGAAGGCCAAAGGCAAATGGGTGGAAGAACTGCCAAACGTTCTGTGGGCGTACAGAACAACAACACGGCAATCGACAAGGAAGACGCCTTACTCCCTCACTTATGGAATGGAGGCCATCATCCCCTTGGAGGTCGGCATTTCCATTATTCAGTTTGAAATCTTTGAACCAGCAAACAATGATGAGGCTATCACCTAAGCTCTTGACCTGGCAGAGGAGCGTAGAAAGGCCACTCTCATTCATCATGCAGCATACCAACAACAACTTACTAGAAGTTTCAATAAAAATGTGCTGATTCGACAATTTCTACCTGGAGATCTGGTGCTAAGGAAGGTCATGGATCATAGGAAGGTCCTTGGTGAAGGGAAGCTAGGCCTTAACTGGGAAGGGCCTTACAAAGTTACCTCTACCATGGGCAATGGGGTTTACTACCTGACTGACCTAGCAGGCAAGCCCATTCCTCGTCCGTGGAATGTTGCCAACTTGAAGAAATAGTATCAATGATGTAATAATCTAAACAGCTTTTGAATGTAATCGTAATTTTCTAAGTATTAATGAAATCAACTTTTCCCTATGAATTGTTTTCTTTTTCATATGTGGCGTACATATTTTCGCTCGGCTATTGAGCAAGAATGGGTTATGGGTTTTAACCTATGCCCCAACCCGTAAACTCAGCCTTTCGGTCAGAGTAGGGCACCAAGCAGTATAGCTTGGTGGAATTTGTGCCAAGTAACATTACTTGAAAGCACAGTCCATGGTAACAACTCGCGTTCAACGAAGAGCCGAGTTACACTCTATGATGAGTTAAGCTTGACCGAATCAAGTAAAGGCCGAACAACGAAATACTCGGCCGAATCCAACTAGACATTTTTAAGGCACATAGCCTAGTCTGCCCGATCAGACGCCCTATGTAGTCTCGGAGCCTCTGCTCGGCTGGGGGCATGGAAAGTTCTTTCTTCCAATTTTTCTAAGGCACAAAGCCTAGTTTGACCCAACAGGCGGCCTCTTTCTTTATGGCACCTCTGCTCGGCTGGGGGGCATGAAAAGTTCTTTCTTCCAATTTTTCTAAGGCACAAGGCCTAGTCAAATCGAATAGGCGGCCTCCTTCTCTACAGAGCCCCTGCTAGGCCGAGGCCAAGCATAACACATACAAGCAAAAATTGAAGATTGAAGTTCAAGACATACAAAAATCCAACAAAGCATGGCATTACTATAAAGTGTCCATTACAAAAAGGAGAGCTCGGCCTTACAAAATGACGATGTCTAACTAGCTGAACTCCAACACTTGCACAAAAAAAAAAAATGTGACAAAATATAGAAAACAAGTAAAGGACTTTCAAGCCTCATCACAACACTACTTTTGCTCATTCAGAAATAGCGCTCGGTAGACGAAGGGGGGAAACAGAAAGGGTGGCCTCCGAAGTCTCAGCCACTAATGTCTCCTTTGCTTTAGCAGCCCTTGCAGTAGTAGTCTTAGATGGAACAGGTATGTCCATGAAGAGAGCAGAAGTCTCCTCAGTTCTAATAGCACGAAGAGCCTCTGTCCAACCCTTGGCAAATAAGTCATCCCTCAATTTCAGCACTTGTTGGGCATAATTTGTTTCAGCCTCATCCCAACCCTTCTGGATGGCCTCTTCAATAAGCTTAGCTTAGTCGGCTTTCATCGCCTCCAGCTGGGCCTCCACTTCAGCTTTTCTCCGTTCGACCTCTTTGTTGGCAGCAAAATCCACCATAGCAATTTTCTCAGTCTCCAACGATGCCTTCTCCCTAGCAAGGGTCGATGCCTTAGAAGGAAGCCTCCTCTTCGGCCTTTATCTGTTCTACTTCGGCAGACTTCAGAGCAAGGTCGGCGTCAACTAGCAAGGTTGAAGTCTGTTACTTGCTCCAAGCAACGCTGCTCCAAAACATGAAGCCACTGCGCCAACTGTCAGGAACCAAATAAAACACTTAGAGAAGTTTATTGAAAAAGGACAGGAAAGCAATTAAATCAGTAGAGGAACACTTACTGTGGTCACCATTTGAATAGATCCTTTGATTAGAGATTCATAATCCACATTACATTCAACCATGTCCAGGCATAGGAGTAATGCCTTGGACATGTGGAATGCCAAATCACAAGAATCTGTCATGCTATCAGCCACAGTGATAGGTCGACTTTTATACTCCAAATGAGGCAGCCACTCCTTAGCCAAAGTCTGCTCTTCAGAACCCTCAACCACATCCTTTCCTTTACTCCTCTTTCTCTTGGAATCCCTCAGTTCTTCAGTATGTGTTGTAGTATGTGGAGTAGGAGAAGGGTTATCCTTGGAAGTCTATATGGACTGTTTTGGAACCAAGACTCTTTGTTCGGTCGACCGAACGATCACAGTAGCTACTTTAGGAACAGGACCTGTACCATAAACAAGAGCTGCAAGGTCAAGCTTTCAGCGAGTCATGCCTTCTTGGTTGTCGAGACGAGGGCCCCCACTCGTAGTTCCACTTGATGACCAAGCAATGGTGGAGAGTAGAAGCACCAGTGTTATCACAAGCTTGTTGCTCGAACGACCTCTCTAGAGACTTTCTAAAATAGTCAATCACACGAACCCTCCTCTCATTAAGCTTGTGCTTGTAAGTGGCCTTGTAATTAAGTAGTTTTGTCATAGATCGGTTGGGGTAGGCAAATATAGTCTCAAGGTCAGCCAGATGTTCTTTGGTAGTCCGCCTCCTTGTCTGGGAATCACCTGTCGAAGTCATACAACAAAAGTTAAAAGTCAACATCAAAAGTGTGGAAGTAAAGCATTAAGGACAAAAGCTAACCTAGACCACCATCTTCACGAGATATTTACGTTGGTCGGTCCTCTCCAATGGCAGGATTCTCGAAGTTCCCTCCTACCATGAAGAAATCTTTCGAATGCTTATCAGAATCAGGAAGGTCTAAGATCATTTGGGGTACATCAGACATAACTCTAAGGCAGAAGGTGCCACTCGGGTGATGAGAGAAGTTGTAACAATGGAGTATGTCCCATACTCCTAAATTAAGGCCAAGCAATTTGTTAAGGGCCACGAAGCCACTTATAATCCTAAAAATATTCATGGCTATCTCCATGGGGTAGAGTTTGAAGTAATGGAAAGGGAACCAAACTCCCCCTTCTACGATTGCTCCTACAGGAAAAAGGCACAGTGTCATCGATTGGAGTTCGAAGTGTGTTTAACCCCCCTAACACTAGTGTAACATCTTCGGGAATATGGTACTTCTTGCGGAAGAATGCTAGTTTAGATGGTGTATTCACTAGACTCCTAAACTTACCCATTTTGACACAATCAAGGGTTCAAAACAAGGGAAGGACCAACCAAACAATATAGGGGCATGCCCAACAACAAAATTACCACAAACAACTAAGGAGCAAAAGGAAGGAAGGAATTAAGCTGTTAGGCAAAACAAATTTGGTGAACTTACAATACCAAACCAATGCCACCAGCTACGAAGCCAGGGCGGCCACGGAGAGAACAAAATCTGTTGTGCAAAGTCCACAATAGCACGCTGAACCTGTAAACAGAAAAGTTATTGGAATAAAATCAGAATCACATTTGTCCAAATCAAGGTTCATACTAGGTACAGAGAAATGAGGATTTTCCAAACTCAAGCATTTGCAGACAACAAAAATTAAAAGAAAAGACAGGTATGGGTTTGTGGAATTAAAAACACCAAAAGTAGCTTTAATGAGCAAAAGTCAAAAGGCGTGGACTTATGGGGTCCAACACTATTGGAATCAATGGTGAATAACCATAGTCAATGAATCTCACACACCAAAATTAAAAGTGTGGGGTTGAGAACTTGCGACGTTGTGACTGTGTGAGCGATGCTGGAGGCCGATGATACAAGCTTGCCAACGTTGCAATGGCGAAGCCCACCGATGGTGACGTGGCTGTCAAGAAACAAAAAAGGGACCTACTAACTCACGGTAGCGGGATCAAAATGAATTTGCTAATCAATAATGGCAAGCCTTCAAAATCTAACGCCGACGAGTAGTTCTTTGAGTGTTGGAGATTTCTGGGTTTCGAAAAGTAAGAGATGGCCCATTGTGGACAAAGGAGCACCGCCGGAAACAATGGCAAACGGCTTCGGAAACAATGAAAGTCATCAGCTCAAAAACACGACAATGGTAGTGGATTGAAGTCCTCTAATGATAATGAGACAGCAGACCACCACTGTCGAAGAGGGACGAGTGGGTAAGCTTCAAAGCTGGTAGAACCACAACTAATAATGTAGATTGACGGCAGTAATGGCAGGATCGAGACACCGATACTCACTGTGCATTGCCGGAAAGAGCATGCCATGAACATACACACGACGGTGAGTCCCTGCTTCTCCACCATCGGAAGAAAATGAAGAAAACCAGTGGGCCAAACTTAAAGCTTATGGAGAGAGAGAATGTAGTCTACAAGAATAGCTCTTAAAAGTAAAGAAGAAGAAACATTAGCTGGGTTCGTGATATGCCTCAGGATCCTCTAGAGTAAACTCTCTAGAGTGATCTCCCAAAGTGAAAAGATCCAACGGTTGAAAATAATAATAACCAAAACGACGTCGTTTTGGTTAGTAAATTGAAAAAAAAAATTTGATTTCAAAATAAACAAAGTGTGAGAGAGAAGAAGAGAGAGAGAGAGGGTTTGCTCCTCCTTCCGACCCGTCGCCCTGCCGCCGCCGCCGTCCTGCCATCACTGACGCCCTTGATCTCTCCAATCCCAGAACAATATAGCATGAAAACTACCTAATCAACAATACCCACAACAAGGATCAATACAAGTATTGAAAGGATTCAATAAGAAGACACCCAGTAAAATAAAATAAAACAAAAACCAAATTCAAACTACTTTCTAGTCCAACTCACATCAAATCAAGAAAACAAAAGCTTTTTCTAATAATGGATGTCAACAAAGACTTAGAAAGATGAACTTTCCAGAAATAATGAAATCTGTAAATGGGGTTTTCATCATCATCATCAGTAGCTATGATTGCAAACCCAAGCTTAAAATTTTCTAATAATGGATGAGAACAAAGACTGAGAAAGATCAAGAACTTACCAGAAATAATGAAATCTGAACGTGGGGTTCTTATCATCACCATCAACTGTGATTACAAACCCCTCATCAGCCATTCTTCAACCGATTTGCTCTCTCTAACCTAAACACTCTCTCTCTTCCTCTTCCTTGGGGGTTTTCATCATCATCATCATCAGTAGCTATGATTGCAAACCCAAGCTTAAAATTTTCTAATAATGGATGACAACAAAGACTGAGAAAGATCAAGAACTTACCAGAAATAATGAAATCTGAACGTGGGGTTCTTATCATCATCATCAGTTGTGATTGCAAACCCCCCATCCGCCATTTTTCAACCCATTTTCTCTCTCTAACCCAAACACTCTCTCTCTTGCTCTTTCTCGCACTCTGTTTATATTGAAATTAATTTTTTTTTTCAACTTACTAACCAAAATGACGTCGTTTTGATTAGTTTTATTTTCAGCCATTGGATCTCCTCACTCTAAGAGATCACTCTAGGGTCTTACTTTAGAGGATCCTAATCCGAATGATATTTGAATTTTTGGAGAGAGAGTGCAATCTAAAGGCCTACCCAAGACAACCACATGTTTATTTGGCAGGAAATAGTACATATGGGGACAAGGCCGAGCTATACTGTGAGTCTATGAAAGACCGAGCTCTAGCACCAATTTTTGAATTGTTTTATTCGGACCGACCGAGCAACAAACAAGCATCCAACATATTTGTTTTAGACAAATTTGAAAGTCCTTAAAAGTAAAGAAGAAGAAACATTAGCTGGGTTCATGATATTTGAATTTTTTAAGAGAGAGTGCAACCTAAAGGCCTACCCAAGACAACCACGTGTTTATTTGGCAGTAAATAGTACATATGGGGACAGGGCCAAGCTATACTGTGAGCCTATGAAAGACCGAGCTGTAGCACCAATTTTTGAATTGTTTTATTCGGACCGACCTTGCAACAGGCAAGCATCTAACATATTTGTTTCAGACATAGGCCATGTGCAATGGGCTAAGAAATAATGGAGCAAGGAGCTAAATAAATGTTGGGACCTCAAAGATGGTTATTCAACATGCTCAATGATCAAGCCAAACAAGTCATAAAGTGGTGGGCCCAATGTCATGCCCTGAAAAGTCCGACTCTAGCAACCATACCACCAATATTGTCAACACACATAATCCAAACAAATAGAACAATAGAACCAATTACACATAACTTTATTTCCTCTTGAACTATTCCCAAAAATAGAGTTTTACATATGTATTCTATTACACTCCTCAAAATAGGAATACACAAAACAAAAAAAAAAAAACAATTCAAAAGAAAAGAGGAAGAAGTTAACACAAGAGATTCATAAGGACATCTTCCTTATCACAATGCTCTACCGTTCACTAAGTCATAAACATTAATTTCCAAAACAAAATGCAATCATCAATACCACGCCCCCAACAAAACTTCAACAAAAACATGTTAGTTGTATAGACATCATCGTGTAGACTGCCCGAAGTTGCTCCGCACGCGAGGGCGCGAATTGTGTTCTTAGCTATTACAGTTCGAACTCCTATCATGGTTCTGAATCTGATCTCACAAAGTGCAATGTAAGACTGATAAATCGCCAAAGAGTCCAAATCTGGCAAATCATTTTGGAAATCAATTTTAATCAAAAAGCGCCAAACATGGACTGCTTTGCCAGATTTCAGAGTCGCCATCTAAATATTTTATTTTGAAAAATTTAGGAAACCCTGACTCGTGCCTAAGGCCACGTGTCCGTCATCACCAAATATGCCTTGGTTTAGGAATTTGGGTACGAGAGGGGAAGGAAATGAGCACCCCCGCTCACCCGATCAAAGATCGGCCTCTACTAATATGATATGTTGTTTTTATAAACACATGTGTTCTTATTTCGGTTATTAATCTAGAATTACTACGTGATGCGCACAACATACAAGTATAGACTAAATCACTCAATTTGGAACAAAACATCTCATGTTTATTTTTCGAAAATAGTTTGAAGTTGCTACCCTCAGGTAGGCTAAAATGCGGATTTGCCACCCTCAAGTCGGCTTAAAAAAAAAACATGATTTGCCACTCTCAAGTAGGCTTAAAACGCACACTTTGATGAATTGTTTCAATTCAAGCAATGAAGCCTTCATCCACAGGCATTCATGCTGTTAATCACTTAAGCACATAGCCTCATGGCAAGCATGCTATCATGGAAGTCACTTACACACATGCAAGGATGCTAAAGCATAAACACTTACAGTGTACTCCGAGCCAATACAGAAACCAATTAAAAATCAATGCATGATCCTAATTATACAAGATGCATAATGCAACACATGCAAAATGCAACTAAAATAGGCTCGGCTAGCTAAGATGGCATATGAATGCGACATTTGATACATGTATTCAAATAAGTGTATTGAAATACAATGCAACTTGAATGATGCACCGAGCCCGGTGCATGCAATACAAATGAATGATGCAAACATGCAAGCATAAGGTATGCTAAATAAAACGTGCCCTAATCTAACCACTGAAAGCAGGTAAATAAAAAAGGGACAAAGACGTGGGGTTGGAAGACATTCACACACACACGCACACTTATTACAACATTTGCCCTCTCGACGGAGGGTCCGAATAAAATGAAAGCTAACTAGCTACGCTAATTAAGCTAACTATTACAAACTAACTAATTACCTAACTATTCTAGCTAATTAATTATTACAAACCAAATTGAATAACTAGCTAATCTACGCTAATTAGAATATTACAAAGCACTAAGCTAAATTAATTATAACACAGGTAATCAACTACAACTAGCTAACAAAAGTAATAAATGGCCTTGCGGGCGAGGGAGATATGCATGCTCAGTTGCGTCCTCTCGGAAATCCACCGCCTTGCCTCAAGACGCCTCTGTTTGCACTCTTTTGAACCTTTGAAAATTACACCGATTTCCAAATTGCTTCTTTCTGATCTCAAGAACACCTTGAGGGCTGAAATTCCTCCTGTTGCTGTAACAGAGCACAGACAGAGGCAAGACAGTGTATTTGTAAGAAAATGTATGCACTTCTACACTCCTTATCATATCTCAAGCTCAAAGAAGTATGGCACTTGACTCTCGAGCCGCCAACCAAGCATTTTCAATGCATGGCGGCCAAAGGATCAAGCTTGCGCAAAACTCAATGAATGCACACATAAGACTCGAAAGGCCTCCACCCTATCATGCACAATCAAGGGGGACGGCGAACAAGAAATGAGGCGCGTTTCATCACTTCAAGTATAAAACGCCCCTCGTTTCTCGTGTTTGGATTATCGTCCGATCCAAACACAATGCAATGCAACACATATGCAAACAACATGCTTATCTATCAATGCTAGAGTGGCATGCACAAGGTTCTATCATGTAAGTAATGCATGCATGGCATGTTTAGAAGCTAAGGCATTAAAGCAAGTGAGGTACATAACGCTAGGACTATGCAATACTATGCACAAACAACCTAACCAGCCCAAAACAGAGCTATATCATGGCAAATCAGTGGCAAAAACATGCTCAAACTAAGGCTCAAAGGAGTAGAAAATCATGCTCCTTTGGTAGCTCACAAATAAGTCACAAAGGCACAACTCTCAAAAGCTCTCAAGGAGTGAAAGAAGTGAGAACATGACACATGTATATGCTTTGAAATTACATGATAAATGATGCCAAAACAGGCAACCATCACAAATATAGCATGCTAAGGTGCGCAAAACTCAAGACTAGGTAAGGCACTTGCACCATAGCCATATCAAGCAAGCCCCAAAGGACCAAGATCACTCAAAATAGTCCTAAGGCAGGTCAAAACATAGCCAAAAATGTGCTGGAGTAGAGCATACACATGCTAGATCAATAGGTTAAAACACCAAACATACTAGGCTAGTGAACAAAAATTGCACTACAAGTGCACGACGCATGCAAGAGGCAGCCAAACCAACCCAAAAAAGAGTTATGAAATGGCAAATAATGGCCAAAAACATACTGAAATGGAGCCAATTCAAGGCACAAAGACATGCTACTTTGCAAGGCTACAAGTAGGATTACACTACAAGTACAAGAAGCGTGCAAGATGTGACCAAACCAACCCAAATCAGAGTTATGGAAGGTCTGAAAAGTCACAAAAATGAGCCTAAACAAAGCCTCTAAGAAGTAAAAACACATGCTCTTTTAATGGGCCATCAACACATGCAAACAGGAGAAGAGGAGGGGGGACCACTCCCACCCATTTGGGACCTCAAAACCACATTTCCACCACTGAAATTCCTCTGAGTTTCAGTGGTGAGAAGGCCAAAAAGAGATGATCCCAAAGGCCTTAAGAGATGGCACAAAACAAGCCACCAAAGGGGGTAAACCACCCCTAACTCAAACAAAGCCTCAAACAACCTTTTTAAACACTTTAAAACAAAGGTTTTTTAAGTTGAAAGCAAAGCCTAAAATAGCATGCAAAGGTGGCCAAATAAGCAATGAAAATAAAGCTTTAAAGAGGCTATTACTCACCCTTGAAGCACAACTTCAAAAACAACAACTTCTTAGGCAAAACCAAGTCAAACCACTCAATTAAGGCTCCCAAGTACCTTAGCAACAAGATGGAGGTGTTTGAGTAGGTGTTTATGTGCAAAAGTTTGAAGAAACAACACTTTAAGGCGCAAATATAAAGAGAGGGGGAGAGTTTTTGCTCTTCAAAATTATGAACCCTCTCTAAGGGGGAAACACCTCCCCTTATATAGAAATGCAAGCCAAAGCTTGCTTGAATCCCTCCCTACATAGGGAGGATGCATTCTGTGCCTAACAGCTAACATAGCTGGCACCAAAAATATCTGCAAAAGCAGAAAAAAGGACGTAGACCACTTAAAGTGGTTGACCAACCACCCCACCTAGTCGACCGACCACCTGAGGTGGTCAACAGGGGACAAAACTGGCTGGCAGGGGAGAAAAAGGGTCTACGAAGAGAGGAGAAGGTGGTGGCAGGCTGCAGACCACTTAAGTTGGTCGACCAACCACCCACCCTAGCTGATCGACCACCAAAAATGGTCTACAGGGGAGAAAACTGGCTAGCAGGGGAGAAAACTGGCCTACACCGCTACTTTTCCCTCAAGGCAAAAGGGGTGTCACGATCCAA